CCCCAAAACCCCAAAACCCCAAAACCCCATCAATCTTCGTATCAGTTTATTTTCAAAATTAAATATATAATTAACGATGTAAAATTAAAATATGAAAGTTTAGAATGACAATGCTTCAGTGAGAGGAAAAAAAAGAAAGATAGATTAGATTTTAAATAGTAACGAGAGGAAGAAATCTAGTGTCAAGCGTATTAAGTTTAACTATTACTTTGAGCCGCATGTTGGCTTGCATAAATGTGAAAAATGCAGGAAAAATCAAACCTAATCACCAACTAAATCTCAATCAAATTTACCCGCTGCTTGTCAAATTTAGCGCATATCTGAACAGCCAAAATCTAATGACCTGAGTTTCAGTCAATGCGAAGATAACTGGTCAAATTAAGGTATCAACTTAAGTTTTAATAGACTGAATATTCCAAGTCAAAGTGCCCTAAAAGATATAACTTGCGCGAAAGATCTAAACTGCATGAGTATATAAAATAGGTCAAGTCCAAATAGAAGTAGCAGTCAATTAAAAACAAGTTAATACAAGAATGTTTCAAAAAGTAGACACAAATCGATGATACCAAGATTAACTAATTAGATTGAGCATTAGTAGAATTCATAAATTCAGAAAGAGAGAGAAAATATGCCAATTATTGTAGAGAATTTCAAAGAGGACATTGATACTCAATCACAAAGTAATCTATTAACATTAGCAAAAATCAACTTAGAAAATCATGACAATATCAAGTTACCAAGCTAACTAGAATTAGTTCCATAAGCATATTCGATTATATTCGATCATCAAAAAGATATGGATTAGCTTTCTCAGATATCTGTAACAAAAGACTTAAGTGTCCCAATAAATTACAACAATTCACTTGATGATCAAACAGTTATTTAATAATCTACTATCATTAACTAGACTCTACCAATGGATGATATAAATGAATATCAATAATAATAATAATAGCAGAAAATTGAATCAAATATCTCTAAGGAAAACTTATATGGCAAATTGATGTCATTATTCAGAGATTCACACGACAATTATATGAACAGAATGAATCAGCTAGCATCCTGGCATTTCATGTAGACTAATTCTAGGATTGATAGCATAGCCAGATAACTTGAGGAAGCAAAATATAAAAATAGAATTTTCAAGGAGACTATTAGAAGAGATTACTTTAAATGATATTCTAGTGTAATAAAAGAAAAAATAATTAATAGATGTAATTAATAAGATGCCTTATAAATATCTGAAGTAATCATTACTTATGATTTGGATCATATGGGGTTTTGGGGTTTTGGGGTTTTGGGG